TGTTCTTTTTAGCAGCATCATATGACCCCTTTAAATACATAATTGAAAACTATTTTTGTAGTTTAATTTACGATAGCAACAATGGACCAGTTGCAAGGCCTAAAATATACACTTTACCTAAAATTCATATACCTTTTACCCTAAAAATTTACCCTATACATTTACCCTTAAAAAGAAAACAGTCATTTGAATATCTTTGTACACCAGTAGGGTCCATTTTCATAATCTCGTCTAGGGCCCCACAAACCCATGGTGCAGCTTTGTTTTAAATTTATGGCCTCAGAAGGAACAGTGGAACAAATCAGAAAGAGAAGAAACAGCCAAACATGCAAGTTGAGCAGAAACGTCATCTGACTGATGGATGCACTGAGGGCATTTAGGTATGGATCTTCTTATGGGTCTGTGTGGGTACTGCTGTCTGGGTAAAGATTAATTTTTTTCGTATTGATTTCACAGAAGCAGAATCAGCGTAGCATGTCCAGGCCTAAAGAGGAGGCAGGAGCGTTTAACCAGCATCTTTGAAGACAACACTGTGCTCACTCCATGGCTGTTAGACCTATCTGATGCATTTACATGACATGCCTTTTAGAGTTTTCTTTTCTCACATCAAACAAAACTCGATGACTCTCTAAGTGCAAGCAACCACAAAGCGATCTTTATGATGTTCACAACTGTAATTACTTACAGCTGCATTTACCACTTATACATTAGTAAAGTGTGTGACTAAACTGTGATTTAGCGTAATGGATGGTGAAACAGCACAGGGAAAGAGCACCGCTGAAATTAAGCAATGCTACTATCATAAATACACATGCAGACATAACACATAATTCCAGGAAAAAAAAACACTTTTTATTTTAAAAATGGTATCATTTTTTTAACTCGTACATGCCGTAAAGTAGTATAACAGAGTAGAGAATAAATTTAGCCTTTTACCATTCCTTAAGTGACTCTCTGAGCTGAAAAAACATGAGCAATCTTTTCCTCTCTCTCTCTCGTTCATCTCTGGCTTTTTCCCGCAAACAGAAAAGGCGTGTGCAAGCACTCTCTCTCTCTCTCTCTCTCTCTCTCTCTCTCTCTCTCTCTCTCTCTCTCTCTCTCGCTCTTCTCCTGGGGCCTACATGCTCAAAAAAATCCTGGGAGTATTTACAGAGGGGTTGGATGTCATGGCAACAGGAGGGTTTGGTTCGAAATTGCAATGCAATGACATGGAAAAGCCAGGCAAGACCTGCTCTGATTCCCAGCTAAAGGGAAACCTACTGCCCTTCAATCCGGTCTGAATGTCTGTTAATGTAACTGAACATCAACAACAGAGCGCTAACAAAGTGGCAGAGCAAAGGTGGAAAACTTTTAGATAATATCACATTAAATAGATTTCTAAAATAAATATATTTCAAACAATACTATATATTTATGAATTCAGAAAAATGTTTAAAAAAAAATTATATTTAATGCAATAATAATGTATAAGTATTATATTAAATAAATTAGGGGTGCTCCGATTGATCGGCTACCGATCACTATCGGCCGATAATCGCTTTGGGATGATTGATCGGCGGTCTCTAAAAAGGAGAGATCTCAAGCTGATGACGCGCCTGCCATCAGAGGATTGGCATGACATGCAGCGGCACCGTCTCAGTCTCTGTCCGGTGTGGGTAAAATAATTATAATGCTTAAGGTGAGGTACAATTCATATTTCTTCATTAAATTACTTATGAAGTCATTTGAAAACCTTATGTGAGACTTAATTTCACAAACAGCATGAGTGCATCACCTCGTGCTCTCTCTTTTTCTCTCTCAAAATGCGCAAATGGCTTTAAATCACATCGCGTCTGCACTATAAGCAAGCTGCACGCTGCACAGTTGACACAGGAATTTACACTTGCACAATCGAGGCAGTGTCACATCGTCACTAAAGTTTATAAATTGCATTTATTTTTATTTCTTGCCAGTGTTTAAACGATTCAGCGCTCGCGCTCTCTCCTGGAGACTGTGCGCTCATGCCCACTCGCAGCGCACACACATAACGCCAGGTTCACATTACTCCGTTTGCACTGCGTATGCGGTGCGTATTTTATCCGCGCTCATGTTAACGGATTAAAGCGTTCACAGACTGCATGTGGTTGCGGTCCGGCAGTGTGTTCCACGAGCGGTGCGTCTGCAGCCATGCAGAGATTGTTTCCACAACGAGCCTATTTTTTCTGCGATGCAAGCGCTGAATTAAAGTAACAACGCATTGTTTGCAGTAAATATGAACATGGATTTACAATGTAGTAATTACACCATAAATGCATATATTTAAAGTCTACTGTGTTTCACAGTCAACACATAGGCTATGGCTTTTTGGCTAGGTTTAAAGGAAAAGAGCACTTTTAGATAAACAAGGCAATAATAGATGGCACTCGTGGAGGTAGAAAAATAAAGTGCTTTATGAGTGCAGGATTGCTTGTAATAAATATTTAATGCGAAAGAAAAGCAGTAGTGCTGACTGTTTCTGTCAATGGTAAGTTTTAATTTAGAATGTTTGTGATAATGTAAGAAAAGTAGTTTAAATGTTTTGCCACTTGCTTGAGCAACTAAATATATAAATCTAGAAGTAAATGCAAAAGTAAAAAGCATTGAATAATGTGTTTCTTATATTTATTTTTTATATTTATGTTTACCACGTCTATGAAAGATTGTATTACTGTACTGTGTAAAAAAAGAATCACAATGCTGAAAAGGCATTTTAAGTAACAATGTTTGAATTTGAAATCAAAATAATGGATAAATGTTGTGTTTGTAGTAAACTGCCACGGATCAGTTGCAGACTCCTGTGTGAAAACACAGTCAGTGCTGCTTCTGCACCGCTTAAGTTCAAAAATGAAATTCAGGCCCTGAATAAATGTCTAAAAATCTTGATTGGATCATCACTATAAATAATTCTACACGATAAAAAGAAGGCTTTAAAAAGATCGGTATCGGTGATCGATATCGGCAGATACTGCTTTCTATGATCGGTGATCGGTGATCGGCCTCAAAAATCCTGATCAGAGCACCCCTAAAATAAATGTAATTTATATTATGCAGCTAATATTGTGTATAATTAATATTATGCAATTCTTCATATTATTATTATTATTACAACTTACATAGCATAGGAAAAACTTAAAATGAAAATAAAATATGAAAAATAATCTAAGAAATATTTATAGAAAAATATATAATTATATTCACACTAAATTTGTTACATTTATTGGGCAAAGTTTATTTTAAGGTCCAGTTCTCGCTATTAACAAACCATTAACTATGACTTTTGCCTCAATAAGCTCCTAATTTGATCCATTAATAGTTATTAAGGTAGCTGTTAAATTTAGGCATTGGGTAAGATTAGGGATGTAGAATATGGTCATGCAGAATATGTGCTTTATAAGCACTAATAAACAGTCAATATGTTAATAAAGGCATGCTAATAAGCAACTAGTTAATCGTGAGAATTGGTCCCTATACTAAAGTGTTACCCATTTATTACTATTATTACTTATTGTTGGAATGACAGTACAGTAGTTGATCATAATGTGGAAACAGGAAGAGGAAATACACTAAGGTACAGAAAACCACAGCACTATTGTATTTTTAAAATTACATCTACATTTAGTCATTTAGCAGACGCTTTTATCTAAAGAGAATTATAAATGAGGACAATAGAAGCAATCAAAACCAACAAAAGAGCAATAATACACAAGTGCTATGACAAGTCTCTGTTAGCTTAACACAGTTCACGTAGCAAGGTGTTTTTTTTAATAATAAATAAAAAGAAAACAAGTAGATAGAACACAAAAAGAATAGAGAAAGCTAGTAATAGAGGCCTTTTTTTTAAGAAAACAAGCAGTTAGAAAACAAATAGAGAGTGCAAGTGTTAGAGGGCTTTTTTAAAATAAAAAGACAACAAATAGATAAAATAGAATTTAGAATAGAAATAAACAACAATAGAAAATAAAACAACATGCTTCCTTTCTATTTGTTTTGAAAACTTTCGCACTAACACAGACCCTCCGAGTGGCTCTCCTAATGTGTGCTTCCAGTGAGGACACCGGGATAAATCACTGTGCTTCTCCAACCGACAGAAACATATTCATCTACCCAAGAGCGGCATAGTAAAGATGAGAGACAAGCCAAAGACAACAGTATGATCAGTGAGTGTTTATTCAGGCTCTCCTTTATTGTGGACTGCATTAAGATGCTCCATAGCTGACTGCCGTTTTTGACCTTGGGTAGAGTGTCACGAGCAATCTTTTCTCTTTTTCGTTATCTTTGTGTCTTTTTCTAATGATTGAGAGCTAATTACTTGCAAACATTCGGCTTCAACAAATATTCAGCCCTCTATGAAGACTGACAACATGAATTGCGTCCTCAAGCAGCAACAGCGAAAAAGCTCTCTCACACACATAGCTCACGCTGTTCCTGCTCCACAGATCCTGTTGAGACATGAAGACCCTGTGCCTTTGGTGATTACATGATGAGCCGTAATTAAGCGAGCCGATTGGAGATTAACCAGCACCTCGCAAGCACATGACAGCACAGGTTTGTGAAGAGAATGAATCATCCCACAATCATCCCGCGGCATTGATCTCTCAGCTGAGTGTGAAATATAAACACTATCTGCACTCAGCTCTGACATGACAGACAAACTATGCCAATGTAGACCATAACAAAGCACTAAACAGGCAACATCCTGCACGTGAACTCTACAAAGCACAGGAAACACCTAAAATCATCTCCTGTGAGACGATGAAGACAGAAAACAAAAGTAAAAAAAAAGCGCACCAATTAATGCGACTTCACAAGTTCAAAAGCTAGATAAACGTGCATGTTTTGGTGCCTGATATGCAGTGTTGACATAAGAGAACACACCGTGAGAGGAAAACAAGGGTCATTTGCTCGGCAGACAGCACTTATCGGTACGTGAGCGAGCAGAGAACAGATGTGCGTGCGAGAAAGAAGGACAAATCGTACTCTACCTCTGCTCGTTCAGGTGATGCTGTCCGTCAAATCCTGGCTGATCTGAGTGCTGTCACGGTCACAGCATGGATGGGCTTACAAGCAAAATGCTACAGGCAGTGCTGGAACCAGCTCAGTCAGCAGCAGAAATATCCCTCCCCTCCTGCATGAATTAATAAACCTTCTCTCTCTCTCTCTCTCTCTCTCTCTCTCTCCCTCTCGTGATTATCCTTCAGTGTTGTACGCAACACTCTCCTTTTCCTGTAGCAGATGAAAATGTCCCTGCACTTTCTTTTCTGACAGCCTGTTTACAGAGCACTCTGCTGTCGCTCTGTTTCTCTCTCGCTCTGCACACTCTCTCTCTCATCAACAGTGCAATATCAAAGTGCTTCTCATAGGGCCAGCCCTCCCCCCTTGTGAACAACCCTAACCACCACAGTTAGTGCCCTTCTCCAGGCTTTTATAAAACGTGCTATAATGTAGAATAAAATCTCAAATCATTTATGTTATAATGTTGTTTTGGGAATAAAAGAAAACTGAATAATGAATAAAGACTTCTGAATCGTGACATTTGTATTATTTACCTCATCTTTAAAAAAATGGCTTTAAAAGCCATTAAAATAGCCTTTATTGACTTTGACTTAATACATTTTATTTTTCTACTTCATTTATTCTATACACTACTGTTTGATTTTTTTGTGTGTGAAAGAAATTCATACTTTTCTTCTACTATATTCATGGTTTCAATGAAAATATTAAATCAGCATGATGTGATATAATAAGTTGTGAACACTTATAATATTAAAAACGTTTATTTTCTCGATAATCAAATTAGCTTATTAGAATGATTTCTGAAGTGACGCTGAAGACTGGGGTAATATCTGCTAAAATGACTTCTTTAAAAAATATATTTTTTTAAATCATACCTTTTTCAACAAAAATTAATTTGAGATCAAACAATTATTGGTAGACCCTCTGCAGTACTGCTGGGGACCCCATTTGCTTGGATCCTATTTAATATTCCGATACAACCTAGGGTTAAGGAAAACATTTTCAAAACAGTTTTGAAACACGACTGGGCAGACTGCTGTGTTGCTCTTTTCTATTTTTATAAGAAAATAACATGCTACATAACTCTGCTCATTCTGCAGAGCCAAATACAACTACAGAATATTATCATACTGGTATTATCTGCTACAAGCTAAAAGTTTATAGTAATTTGAGAAGATCAACTGCACAACTATAATTACATACTTTACCACTGTAACTTCACATGACAGGTGGGCAAGCGTCATGTGGCTGGTGCTCACAATATCGTTCCACTACATTCATTTTTTTAAATCATACCTTTTTCAACAAAAATTAATTTGAGATCAAACAATTATTGGTAGACCCTCTGCAGTACTGCTGGGGACCCCATTTGCTTGGATCCTATTTAATATTCCGATACAACCTAGGGTTAAGGAAAACATTTTCAAAACAGTTTTGAAACACGACTGGGCAGACTGCTGTGTTGCTCTTTTCTATTTTTATAAGAAAATAACATGCTACATAACTACAGAATATTATCATACTGGTATTACCTGCTACAAGCTAAAAGTTTATAGTAATTTGAGAAGATCAACTGCACAACTATAATTACATACTTTACCACTGTAACTTCACATGACAGGTGGGCAAGCGTCATGTGGCTGGTGCTCACAATATCGTTCCACTACATTCAGACCCATTGTTCACAAACAGAACGAGATCACAATGCAGCACAACAGCACTAAACAAGCCATGATGCTTAATGAAAGCAAAAATCATAATGAGAGTTTTGTGGCTTTTAGTCCATGTCTGTTAGCTGTGAGGTCATCTGCTTACTACTGTACAAAACGCTGACAAACACATATGAATTTAAAGTCTCACCCACTAATACCACCCGCACTCGACTAGCAAAGAGCAAAACATTGCTCACTAATGAGCCACTAACTACAGAAAAAAAAAAGCAGTAAGCCCTTTGACAAACTTCCTGTTTCAAAAGGAAATACATGTCAACACAGAAAAAGACAACAGTGTCTGTTGAATGATTTCATGGGGGCTTTAAGAAAACTATAAACATAAACTATACAAAGTTTTCAGTTGAGCTAGTTGGAAAAGTGAGCCAAGAAGCTTTTATCCTGCATAAATCTAAGCAGAAAGAAAATGTATATTTAATATATCTAAAAATATTGATGGTACATTCGTAGATTTAAGAACGCACTCTTAAAAATAAAGGTTCTTTATTGGCAGTGAACCTTCAACATCAATGGAACTTTTTTTTTTGTTTGTTTTGTTTGTTTTTTGTAGTGGTTCAGTAGATTATTAAAAAGTAATTTACACTAATAATAATTTATATAAAAAAATAGTAGTTATTTTAAGAACTGTATACTGAAAGGTTCTTTGGGGAACCAAAAATGGTTCTTGTTTGGCACTGCTGTGAAACCCCTTCGGAACCTTTATTTTTAACACGAGTGAACAGTGAGAAACTGAATAGATTTTTGTTGATGTCACATTGCGATGATATAATGGTCCCTCAAAGGATGATGGGATGAGACCAGTGCTTATCAACCGAATAGGGAATTAAGCTGTACCACCATCACTCCATCACTTAATTTGAGAAGCAGACAAAGGGACAGAAATAGCCCTGGAGCGCTCCTCCCCTGCTCCTATGATCAAAAGCAGACTGTTTTTGTCTGGCCTGACTTTCACCTAGGTATGCCATCCCCTTTTAATTTTTCCCTTTCCCTTTTCATCAATCATGAATTTGCTCTAAAAGACCTTTTTAGGTAAGTGGTTTAAATCAGAGGACATGAGCTGACCCTGAAGCCTCCAGCTTGTTGGGATTCTGAAGTTGAAGGACACTGAGAGAATAGATCACACGCTCTTATTATAGACAAAAAAGGAAAATAAGGAGACTAAATGATAAGACGGTCCTTACCGTGATTATTTCAGAATGGTAAGCTGGCCGTCTTGTGCATACAGTAATCAGTGTTTAGGAAATGTGTAGGAGTGTCAACATGAGGCGGTGTCTGCGTTTCCTAGAACAGAGTGCTAAAGGTAACAGAGAAGATCTGCACCAACTACGTGCCTCTTGCAACTGTGCTGTTTTGTGCAGCATCATAAAAACCCACAAAGCATTGAGACTTCACATGGTGAAATAGACACACATTATGTTTGAAAAGGCAAGAGAAATGCAACAGGGAAAGGAAAATTTATATAGGTCTACAGGGCTGCGTAAGGTGTCTGTTCTTTCTCTCTGGCTTTTTCTAGTGCTGTCTCTTTCTGAGGGGACTTTCCCCTTTGCTGTTAGAGATGGAGGCGTTGCCTTGTGCCAGCAGAGCGTATGCTTTCACTTCCTATCCCTATCTTATTGTCCTCTTTGTTTGAAGATGAGCAAACACTGTTATGAACCAACGTGGAGCTGATTATGAATGACAAGACCTCATGGTTGTCATAATGGACCTATTTCTTTTTCTTTCTTTCATTTCTCTTTCTTTCTTTCAATTACATTTCTATTGATTTCATGATAATTTCATTATTATGATTTTTTGGCCACTATAATTGTGTAGTGAAAATCTGATATTGTGACAGCCCTAAACTTATTGGCACCGTTCACAGCAATTTTTTAGGAAATTTCAAAATATACATTTTCATACTGTACATTGCAATGTTTTCATGCGTAAATTAACTTTTAGCATTCATTTTGGACAAAATATTGCAAAATGTTAATATTAACCACTTACTGCTTATTGGTCATAACATGAATTTAAATTAATTTATAAAAATCTATCTATAGTTGTGGTCAAAATGTTACATACACTTTGCAATATCCGCTAAATGTCAATTACTTTACTAAAATATGAGGGATTATACAAAATGCATGTTATTTTTTATTTAGTACTGACCTGAATAACATATTCCACATAAAAGACGTTTCCATATAGTCCTCAAGAGAAAATAATAGTAATACACAACTATTACAAAAGGTTCAAATGGTCACTGATGCTCCAGAAGGAAAAGCCATTTTTTTATGAATTCAACTATTATTTTCTGTTGTAGACTATATGTAAACGTCTTTTATGTGAAATATCTTATTCAGGTCAGTACTTAATAAAAAAAAAAAAACATGCATTTTCTATGATAATTACAATTTTGCAGATACAGCAGTAAAATTTTGACCACAACTGTACTCTATCCGTCTATCTATCTATCTTTGCAGTTACAGGAAACAGGCGTTTGCTTCTGAATCCAGCACTGGGTGGAAACTACAGCAGGGTCACACACTGTCAGAGTCTATAGGGAAGGCAGCAGGGTACCAGGAGAGAGACCCTCACACAGTGTCCAGAAGGACAAAAGAGAGCCTGGGGGGTGGGATTCACTTGCTATTTTTATCCCTCCGGCTGTCCCATCTCCCCAGTGGGCGGAAGTGCTGTCCTTCGCGCCTAACCTCAGAGTCCACTGGAACCGGTCACCTCATTCTCATCATGAGTGAGAGCACCCTGGGAAAAAATCGTCTCGCCTCACTTTTTTTTCTCTTTTAACTGTGCAACGACGCATGAATCAGACAGTCTGCAGTAGTACCTTGCTGTAAATCAAGACTGTTCATGTTCTCCTTCCATTGCATATGCCAGTTAGCAAGAATTACCTTGTTGGACACCTTTCAGAGAAATATATAGGCCTTTGGCAGTAATATGAGCGTGTGTGTGTGTGTGGTGTGAATGAGTGTGTAGGAGGAGTGTGAATTGTAAGACATGCACACAATTGTAATGACAGAAACATCGGGAAAAAAGTGTAAAACAGATTGAAAATCATGCAAAATGTTATTTTGTTATATTTTTGTCAGTATATGTCAGGAATAGCGGTGTGTCTGGTTGCATTGTATTGTTGTGACTGGAACAGAAAGCATTTGGATGAAAGACGTCACCTATCACTGGGTTCTCCACAGACTAGAGGGAAGGAAAATACTTAATATAACAAACTTTTAAGACACATAATAACAGATCTTGGCAAAGAGCTTAAAAAATATTATTTTAGACAAAAATGAAATTTCTGTCATCATTTACTAACCCTAATGTTCCAAACCTGTATGACTTTCTTTCTTCTGTGGAACATAAAAGAATAAATTCTACAGAATGTACTAGTCACTCTTTTCCATGCAAACTCACAATAAAAGTATCATAAAATTGGTATGACTCCCAAACTATAATCAGAAGATACTGTTATGATATAGACTTCTCACAAATCTCACTGAGGAAAGATGGGCGCTGAAGCCTATAGTAACACCTACACCACCACCATTCAAAAGTTCTGAATCATTACAATTTTGTAAAGAAATTAATAGTTTTATTCAGCAAAGAATAAAACAAAAAACTATTTTTGAACAAATAAATGCAGCTTTGGTGAACATAAGAGACTTCTTCAAAAAAAATTAAAAATAATAACAATAAGCTTACAGACCCAAAACTATTAAACGGTAGTGTATAGTTTATTGAATACATACTAACTACAATTCAATAATTGTACAGGATTTAAGGTTCACTTCATGGAGCAGGAAATGAGCTTTCCCAATACAGTGTCAAACTATGATCCAATTAAAGTGTAAACAATCCAGCATAGTAATTCCAAATGTCCGCACTATTAAGTAGCTACAGATGTGGAAATAAAAATAGCAAAAAGACAGATTAGGAATGTCCTGAAGGCTATGTTGAAACATATGCCTTATTATTTTTTTCCTCTTTGAGTTGGAAATAAAGGGAGGGGGAAAAAGCACCAGTTATATGACCACCAGCAGCTGCAGTGGACAAACGGTTCTGCATTAACGCACATCTTAGCGTGTGACCGACAACCATGTGGCTCCATTACATCTCTGCCCCATAATGAGATCCAAAGCTACATCACTGGGCTGGCAGGCTCATCTCCAGAGACACAAGGACAGGAAGAAGGGGGAGGAGATGGAGAAGATGTGATAAAGAAGCATTGTACAAAACAAATATAACAAAGCTCACAAGCTGACATTTCATTAAAAACATCAGACTTATCCAAAAACATTATAATTGTATTCTTGGCCCACATCGACCAAGATCGAAAAAATATGTTTTTTAAAGAAGTTGCAAAGAGCAGAATATATCATGGTTTGAATTAGCAACAGGCACTTACATGCAGTAATAAAACAACAATAGCGTGTGCAGAAGAAGAAAAAAAATGTCTTGATAAATCAATATGAGACACGTATAATCATAGCTCAAACAGAATCCCTGGTAAGAGGACATTTAGAGAGATGTGCTCATTTCTGGGAACACCAGAGCAGTGCAATAATATATTTTCACACATGCACAGCCTGTTACTGACACCCACCTATTCACACATGCATAAAGGTCACAAACATGCACACAAGGTGAAAAACTGACTGCGTTGTATCCTTTTCTCACAGACAGGACAACAGTAAACAAACTCTCTGAAAAAAAAAGTACAAAAACTGTCACTGGGCTGGTACCTTTTTTTTTTAACCCCTAAAGGGTGCACATTAGTATCTTAAAGGTACGTATTATTACATAAAACATACTACTTTTTGAAAAGGTACTGTGCTACTGACAGATTTTGTAACTTTTTTTCTGAGAATGAAAGTTATGATTGATGATACTATTATTATATAATTATAAGTTGTTATATAAGTTATTATAAGTTATAAGTTGTAAAACATCCAGGCACCAGAATACCATCCTGTAATACCTGAAACACTGTATTCTGTGCAGTAAACTTCTGGCAACAGGATTTTTTTTTAAATACAGTTACACAAAGTAATCAAAGTTGAGCGCGTTCTCTGCTAGATACTATTTCTTTGTCCATAAACCTCCTGCACTTGTGACAGTCACGAAGACAGGTTGAAATCCTCTGCTCGTCTTTTTACCACAGTCATGCACACATTTGCAAAAAGATAGAGCTCTGGTTTCCTCTGCAAGGACCTCCTGCTCTCACTTTAGCATTTCCTTTGATGTAAGCAACAGTGCTAGCTTTACATGTATATAAAAGTCTCATCCAGTTTTCAGTTGTGACATTATATGGATTCCATATAGTTCATTATAAACAGGTACCAGGAATAACACCAGAACAGCACTGACAGGGAATCTATCTGCACATCTATGTCCTGACTTGAGAATCAATGTCTCTGGCAGCCTCTTGATGAATGGTTAACATTAGTGTTGCTGTGCATACACAGTACATTTACAACCACCTCTATTAGCATGCAAATGCACACAGAGTATCCTACCTTTTGAGAAGCAAGGGAATAACTCTCACCCATATACATGTCCCTGTAGGGGTTTCCTTTTAACCTTGGGACTGAATAGTGTTGACATTAAAGGGGTCATATGACGTTGCTAAAAAAGAACATTATTTTGTGTATTTGGTGTAATGAAATGTGTTTATGTGGTTTAAGGTTAAAAAACACATTATTTTACACATACTGTACATTATTGTTTCTCCTCTATGCCCCGCCTTTCTGAAACGTGTCGATTTTTACAAAGCTCATCGTTCTGAAAAGCGAGGTGTGCTCTGATTGGCCAGCTATACAGTGCTTTGTGATTGGCCGAATACCTCAAGCGTGTGACGGAAATGTTACACCCCTTACCATACTGTGATGCCGTGTCCCGGCTCGACGAGACAAAAACAATAAAGGTGCGTTCACGCCATATCGGAATTCCCGTAATTACGAGATTCCAACTTAATTACGAGATTCCAACTTAATTTATTGTAATTACAACTTGTGAACTGGGAGTTTTCTGAGAGCTACGACTATTAATGCACATCTTAGCGTGTGACAGACAACCATGTGGCTCCATTCCATCTCTGCCCTATAATGAGATCCAAAGCTACATCACTGGGCTGGCAGGCTCATCCTCAGAGACACCAGAACAGGAAGAAGGGGGAGGAGAAAGAGAAGATGCGATGAAGAAACATTGCACAAAACAAATCTAACAAAGCTGACAAGCTTACATTTCATAAAAACAGCAGACTTATCTAAGAACATTATAAAGGGAATTCTCTGCCCACATCGACTGAGAAAAAAAAAAAAGATTTTTCAAAAGAAGTTGCAAAGAACAGAATAATATCATGGTTTGAATAAGCAACAGGCACTTACATGCAGATAAAATAATAATAGCTTGTACAGAAGAAGAAAAAATGTCTTCATAAAGCAGTCTAAGGCACGTATAATCATAGTTCAAACAGAATCACCGGTAAGAGGACTCCATTAGCTCTTAGAGAGATATGCTCATTTCTGGGAACACCAGAGCAGTGCAATATATTTTCACACACGCACAGCCTGATACTGCATGTTACTGACACCCACCTATTCACACATGCACACAAGGTGAAAAACTGACTGCGTCGTATCCTTTTCTCACAGACAGGACAACAGTAAACAAACTCTCTGAAAAAAAAAGTACAAAAACTGTCACTGGGCTGGTACCTTTTTTATTTTTTTACCCCTAAAGGGTGCATATTAGTATCTTAAAGGTACATATTATCACATAAAATGTATATATTACTACCTTTTGAAAGGGTACTGCCCTACTGACAGATTTTGTACCTTTTTCTCTGAGAGTGATAGTTAGAGTAGACTGGAATATTCACATTATATGATTGATGAATATACAGTTATAAGTTGTAAATGTCCAGCCACCAGTATGCATAATACCTGACATGTCACCGTGTCACTGTATTCTGTGCAGTAAATTCTGGCAACAGGATTTTATTTATTTATTTATCTTTAACAGTTACACAAAGTTAAATTAATCAAAGTCACATTCTCTGTTAGCCATTATTATCATACCAATAACTAAGTATAAATTCAAAGAAAAATTCTTTGTCCAAAATTTCCTGCACTTGTTACAGTGCTCATCTTTTCTGCTCATCTTTTTACCACATTCATGCACACATTTGCAAAAAGATAGAGCTCTGGTTTCCTCTGCAGGGACCTCCTGCTCTCACTTTAGCATTTCCTTTGATGTAAGCAACAGTGCTAGCTTTACATGTATATAAAAGTCTCATCCAGTTTTCAGTTGTGACATTATATGGATTCCATATAGTTCATTATAAACAGGTACCAGGAATAACACCAGAACAGCACTGACAGGGAATCTATCTGCACATCTATGTCCTGACTTGAGAATCAATGTCTCTGGCAGCCTCTTGTAACATTAGTAACATTAGTGTTGCTGTGCATACACAGTACATTTACAACCACCTCTATTAGCATGCAAATGTATCCTACCTATCCTACCTTTTGAGAAGCAAGGGAATAACTCTCACCCATATACATGTCCCTGTAGGGGTTTCCTTTTAACCTTGGGACTGAATAGTGTTGACATTAAAGGGGTCATATGACGTTGCTAAAAAAGAACATTATTTTGTGTATTTGGTGTAATGAAATGTGTTTATGTGGTTTAAGGTTAAAAAACACATTATTTTACACATACTGTACATTATTGTTTCTCCTCTATGCCCCGCCTTTCTGAAACGCGTCGAT